TCTGCCTCTGCCTCTGCCTCCCGAGTTCTGGGACTAAGGGTGTGCTCTACCACTGATTTGTAATTCTTTGAGAAATTCAGTTTGATCATATTCATCCTCACTACTTCCCCAGCTCCTAGATCCACCCCCTACTTCCCTTCCAATTTCATATCCTTTGTTTTCTTTTTTAAAAATAACCCATCTAGTCAAGTTTATGCTGCCATATACTCTGGGTATGGGGCCATCCACTGGAGCCATGTCAGCCTACCAGGGACCACACCCTTAGAGAAAATGCCCTGTCTCTTCCCCAGAAATCTGTATCACCTCAGTTAAGAATGGGAGCTTGTTAGCTCCTCCTACTCTGTGTTTGAATGTTGACTGGCTTGATGTTGTGTCGGCAGCTATATCCAGCTGCTATGAGTTGTGAATGCAGGGTCCTGTCAGTCCAGAAGACCCTGTTTCCCCCTGGCTCTCCCCAGCCTGGTCTCTCAGGGCCTTTCCCTGTTTTCTGAAAGCGTGGGCAATGGATATAGATGTCCCATTACTCCACTAGCACTTATTTTCTGTACTTGTTTGTTTGTATGTGTTGTGTTGTTTCTTTTTTCCAAACAGAGTTTCCCTGTGTAGTCCTGGCTCTCCTGGAACTCACTTTGTAGATCAGGGTGGCCTCAAACTCAAAGGAGATCACCTGGGTGCACCACTACAACCCGGCTTTATTCCCTGTTATTTGACTGGTTGTGGATTTCTGCATTAACTGCTGTCCACAGCACAAAAGAACTTCTCTGATGAAGTCTGAGAGATTAATGTGTGGGTAGAGAGGTACAAATGAAGAAGACAGTTTGATGCTATGTCTGCTTAGCAGAATGGTAGTGGTAGATTCACTGCCAGGCGGTGGTAGTGCACGCCATTAATCCCAGAACTCAGGAGGCAAAAGCAGGCAGATATCTGTGAGTTCCAGGACAGCACAGAGAAACCAAAAGGGGAAAAAAATAAATAAATAAACAATAGTAGATTCACCCTGGGGCCTATGAGCTCTTTAACCATGGGCTCTTAGCCAGATTTGTAGTACCAAGCATGTTGGAGCAGGCCTTAAAACCACTTAGAAAGCAGTTTGCTACCCTCAAAACACCCATGCCACTGTTGCCCCCCACAACTTGCCATGCCTCTCATTGTCATTCACAGGGCTCATAGCTGGGTATGCTGTGGTGATTTTCCACCCAGCAACCACAGAGCACCCCTGGTACTATGAGAGCTAGCCAGTAAAGAGGCTTCCTGGTCAGTACCAGCTTAATGTAAGAGGAGGTTTTCTTAGAGAAGTCACCTTCTAGCTGGTGCTGTGATTTGTGCCTGAAGTCCTAGGACTGAAGAGATGGAAATGGATGGACTGCAACAAGTGGGGGGTGGGGGACCAACATAACAAACCTGAGCGACATAGCAAAAAACCTTGTCTCCAAAACAAAAAGCCAAGATAAAGCAAAGCAGTCTTCTAGTCAAGCTCACAGGCAGGCAAGGGAGCAGCAGTAGCAGCCAGGAGAGTGGGAAGCAGCAGAGATCCCAGGGAGAGCCAGGAAAGGAAGGGTGTGTTGGGAGAACCACAGCAAGTATATATACACAGAGGATGAGTCTGTGAGTGGCGTGTGGTCTAGGGTGTTATTGCCTGGGGGGTGAGGGTTGTGTGTATGTGTGTGTTCTTGAATGTGTATCATAAAGGCAAAGCCGATCACAGTGAGCGTCCTATATATTTTGAATAATATAAAATTTATACTCAAGACTGCAGACTTGTCATTTGTTATACAGCTTTGTTTGACTGTGCTCTATCACTCTGGCACCCAAACTTAACATTTAAAATGCCAAAATAAACCATTATTGTCACATTTTCCTAAAGGAATATGATGGATGGAGACTCCAGAAGATCTAAAACCCACACTGCAGTTTTTTACAAGAAAAAGAAACAGTCTTCTGTATCTCAGAAAAGACCCCAGACACAATCCCCTGAGAATTTAGAGAGTGAGCATCTTCAGGTGTCCAAGCTGGGGAAGAGGAGGGAATCCCAGACACCAGCCCCTGAGAGCTTGGAGAATGAGCATCCTTTGTTGTCCAACCTGGGGAAGAGGAAGAAGGAGTCTCAGACACCAGCCCCTAAGAACTTGGAGAGTGAGCAGCCTTACAAAGCCAAGAGGAAAAAGAGGAGGAAGGAGTCCCAGACACCAGCCCCTGAGAGCTTAGAGAGTGAGCAGCCTTACAAAGCCAAGAGGAAAAAAAAGAGGAGGGAGTCCCAGACGCCAGCCTCTGAGAGTTCAGAGAGGGAGCAGCCTCACATAGCCAAGAAGAAGAGGAAGGAGTCCCAGACGCCAGCCTCTGAGAGCTCAGAGAGTGAGCAGCCTCACATAGCCAAGAAGAGGAGGAGGAAGGAGTCCCAGACGCCAGCCTCTGAGAGCTCAGAGAGTGAGCAGCCTCACATAGCCAAGAAGAAGAGGAGTAAGGAGTCCCAGACACCAGCCTCTGAGAGCTCAGAGAGAGAGCAGCCTCACATAGCAAAGAAGAAAAGGAGGAAGGAGTCCCAGACGCCAGCCTCTGAGAGCTCAGAGAGAGAGCAGCCTCACATAGCAAAGAAGAAAAGGAGGAAGGAGTCCCAGACGCCAGCCTCTGAGAGCTCAGAGAGTGAGCAGCCTCAGGTGTCCAGTCTGGGGAAGAGGAGGAAGTTCCAGACACCAGCCTCTGAGATCTCAGAGGGCCAGCAGCAGCTTCACATAGCCAAGAGGAAGGAGTCCCAGCAACTTACTTCTTCCCTTCTGAAAAATTCAGAAACCTTCCATAAAGCCAAAAAGACCACTTCTACCCATAAAAAGAAGAAGAGAAGTAGTGTTTGGGAGGTGGATATGGAAACAGGGATCATCCTTGTAAATAAAGAAAACATGGAGAACCTGCTAGAGAGTTCTAGGAAAGATGTAGATATTGTTTATGTAGATATAAGCAAGGGACAGAAGTCAGCAAAAGTGGACAAAGCAGAGAAGCTGTCCATTGCTGAGTCCCTGAAACATGACTATCAAGAGCTACACAGTGATGTTAAGAGGAAAAAGAATCAAAAGCATCCAAAGAAAGTTGTATCCTGGGATGCAGTAGAGGAAAGCCAGCCTGAGAGCATCACCCTGCCCCACTCGGAATCCTTGTCTTCTGTGCATCTGGAAGGCAGAAGCACAGGACTATTGGTATCTCATAAAAAAATGTCTAAGGAAAAAGTGTCCAGGAACCAGGAATTGGGAGCCGTGCCTGAGAGTCTTGATAGTGCACACCCTGGAGGAGATGGCGAGAGGGTCAAAGGATCCGACAGAAGCAGGAAAAAGACTAAGAAAGGGAAGTGTGCGTCTGTTGCTATTGCCACCTCTAGTGACAATGTCCCGCTGCTTGACAACTATGCTGAGAATGCCTTCCTGGATTCATTAGAAGGCGGTGATGCCTTGAGGGAAGAGGATGTAGACCGCAGACCAAGGAAGGCAGAAACCCAGGCTTGTTCTAGCGAGAAGCCTGCAGAAGAGATGCAGGGGTAAGCTGGGAGTGGGGTGTATCTTCTGTGTGCGTATGAAATGACAGAAATCATAATGTGTACATTTAATTGAGCCATCTCAGCAGATAGCTAAATCTGTACATGAGTAAAAGAAGGTAGTTAAATTAGATTTTCACTGAGGTCTGTTCTACCTAATGCTGTACATTTGAGCCATTTTAAGACTTCCAAGCCACGTAGCTTGTCTGGGAGTGTGTATGGATGTAAGGGTTACATATATTATACTGAGGATTCTGCAAAGTAGCAAAAGCTTGAATCTCTCATATTGAATCTCACACGAGGAATGTAACTACTGTTACTGCTCTAATGCTATTGCAAGTATACTGTCTAATGAACTGATAGAGGGAGTTTTTCCCACCTATACATCCTACACTGGGAACAGATTTCTCTTCCCATTTTCATTCAGTAACTTTTGTGTTTGTTTGGAAGTCTGACTTAGAATAGTTTCACATGAGTGTTAAATGGGAATATTATTAAATGCCACATGGGATGGTAATGATAATAGGTGTGGGTCATTCACATTGATTTTGTACTGTCTTACTGGGAAGATTTTTAGAACACTGGTCATGAGGCAAGAATATGTTAGGGCTGTAGCTCTAGCTTTCCTTGGCTCTATGAAAGTCACTAACTTGTCTAACAGGTAGACAAGATGGTTTAGTTCCCAGTCTGACAGATACACTGATGCCTGAACATACTAAGAGCAGACAGATTCTGACATATCTGTCAAGAACTGGCGAAAGCAATTGAGATGGATACGTAAAAAACTAAGGAGGAAATGAGCCCCATAGCAAGGTGCAGCAGGAACAGCCACAGTTGGGTAAACCCTGAACACTGAGTTACACATTGGAAGGGCTGGGAGAAGTATTTGATCCTCAGTAGAGATAAAGAGGGCTTTACTTATTAGAACCAAGGGTGAGAAATATCACATAAACAATAAGAGGTGGAGTGGAGTTACCTTTTGTCCACATGTACCCATCTAATGTAATCAACTCTTTATGTAAACATAAAGAGTTGGAGGGACTGAATGACTCCCAGCTGCAGTCTGGCTTCAGTACTCTTCTAGGCTGGGAGCCATCCAAGAAGAGTTGGAAAGGTGTTAGCTGAGAAGATGACTGCTGGTAACCCAGTTTCCCCCTTAGGGTAGAATCTACCCGTGAAGAAGAAAGCAGTTTGGAATCAGCCAGCAATTCCGCAACAAGATATGTATCTGAAGATGGGAGAGATTCTGATGAATCGGATGTGGATTTGGGCTCTGCAGTGAGGCAGCTCAAAGAGTTCATTCCTGACATTCAGGAAAGGGCAGCCACCACAATCAGACGCATGTATCGGGATGACCTGGGGCGCTTCAGAGAATTTAAGGCACAAGGTAAGCTTTCCAGTGCACAGAGCAGGCAGCAGCTGCTTTTGTGAGTAACTTGGATTGATGGGTCCAAGAGAAGCATCCTTTAAGATCTAAGAAGCTGCCTGGCAGTGTTGGGGGTGCACACCTTTAATCCCAGCACTTGGGAGGCAGAGGCAGGCGGATCTCTGTGAGTTACAGGCCAGCCTGGTCTACAGAGTGAGTTCCAGGACTGTTTCACAGAGAAACCCTGCCTCAGAAAAAAAAGTTTCTTCATTGCATGTATTTATTATGCATGACTCTTTCACACAGGTATGCAATACACGTTCAGTGAGGGGCTTCTGACTTTGGGAGCCAAGGTGATTGAAGAGAGTAGAAACAAAGAGGTTAAGAACACATGCCCTAAGCACCTGATGTGGACACAGTTACAGAGAAGTGTCTGTATTCTGTGTTGAATCATGAGGTAGACCAGGCTGAACTCAAACTTTCAGTCCTCCTGCCTCATCTCCCCAAGTGCTGCAGTTAGCAGATACGAATCACCGTGTCTGGCTACACATGTAAATTACTAGGTTATTTATTTATTTTGTTGTGTGTATGTATGTATAATAAACCTAAAACCAGGGCTGAGAATATAGCTCAGTTAGTAGAGTGCTTGCCTAGCATGTACCCAGTACTAGGTTTGATTCCCAGTACCCACATAAATCGAGTGTGCTGGTGCATGTCTGTAACCCCAACACTCAGGAGGTGAAAGCAGGACAATCAGAAATGCAAGCCTATTCATAGCTGCATAGGGAGTTTGAGACTTGCCTGAGCTACATGAGACCCTGTCACAACAAAACAAAACATCTAAAACCAGACAAGTAAACTCTGAGTCTCCAGCTCTGCAAAAACAAAGAACAATGCGCTATTCACACATTTGATCCTTAATGATTGCGTGAGGATCAGGAGTTCACTGTAAACTGTATTAACGTTTTGTCAGCCCTGACCCTGACTTGCACATATATAAAGCTTGTGTTTGTTCAGCAGGCTCCTGCCAGTCCTTGTGAACAACACTTTCAGTGGCGTGTGTGTGTGTGTGTGTGTGTGGGGGGGGGGATATGGGACAACTTCTTTTATGTTCTTCAATGTTGTCTGGATTTTTAATGAATGTTGCTTTTTAATATAACTGGGTTTTTTTTGTTGTTTGTTTGGTTTTTTTTTGGTTTTTCGAGACAGGGTTTCTCTGTGGCTTTTGGAGGCTGTCCTGGAACTAGCTCTTGTAGACCAGGCTGGTCTCAAACTCACAGAGATCTGCCTGCCTCTGCCTCCCGAGTGCTGGGATAATGTAACTGTTTTAAAGAGATTGAGGAAGCAAGCAAGTCACTGTGGACGAGGGTGTATGGGAAGACTTAGGGAGAAGAGCTATAGCTTAGACTAGACTTGAGGATGGGGACTGGGGAGCCACTCAGTGCCAAAGATAGCAGTGGGCTGCTCCTAGCAGGCTGGTCCTGCTGGCCCTGGTATTTTGAGTATAGTAGGTTTCCTTTTGGGCTCTGGAGATGCTCAGTCAATAAAGTGCTTGTTGCACAAACATGACAACCTGAGTTCAGGTCCCAGAATTCACGTGAGAAAGCTGACCATGGTGTTGTGTGCTTGTAACCCTAACAATGGGGAGGCAGAGACAGAAAGATCCTTGGGGCTTGCTGCCTGGCCAGCCTGGCTTACTTGGTCAACAGAAGAACCTATCACTAAAAAAAAGATGGATCTGAGGGTCAACAGCTGAGGTTGACCTAGAGTCTCCACACATGTCTCTTCACACACACACCTTACACCACACTATAGAGAAGAAATGAATGTGGTGGATTTGTTTTTTCATTATTGACAGTATGTACTTTCTCTCCTTGCTCCCCCCAACCCTAGGTGTTGCTATTAGATTTGGCAAATTTTCTGTTAAAGAAAATAAACAAATAGAGAAAAATGTGCAAGAATTCCTGTCCCTGACTGGAATTGAGAGTGCAGACAAGCTGCTATACACAGACCGATATCCAGAGGAAAAGTCTCTGATCACCAACTTAAAACGGAAGCATGCATTCAGACTGCACACTGGTAAGTGGAGGAATGGACTCAAGCACCCTGGGCCTTCCCACACTCCCTCAGTGTGCGTGCGTGCGTGCGTGCGTGCGTGCGTGCGTGCATGTTGGAAGCATGCATTCAGACATTGAGACTGCACATTGGTAAATGGAGGAATGGACTCAAGCACCCTAGGCCTTTCCACACTCCTCCTTTCTATATATAGTTCTAAGTGTGTGTGTGTGTGTGTGTGTGTGTGTGTGTGTGTGTGTGTGTGTACAGATACTTATTCTGAATCCCATGGGATTTGCAATGTGTCCGTATCTCTCAAATTAGTGCTTCTGTGGATTTTGTGAAAAAGTAAGTGACCTTCTACCCTTGTCTACTTGGCAATAATTATGACTTCTGTATGAAACATATCCTTTCCTTGCATCGTGGTCTTCTAAGTTCCATGCTTTGAGCTAGATCCCTACTGGTGAGTACTGCTGAGAAAGTTAGGAGGTCAGTAAGTCCTGCCAGAGCGGCCCCACATCCAGAAGTTTGTGGACAGCACAAATTGGACACCGGGTTGTTAAAGAAGAAAATGACACACAATTGGGGACATAGAGAGGAGGAGGTGGATCTTGGAGGATTTAGGGAAAGAGAATTGGGAGTGAATATGATCAAAATACATTGTATGAAATTCCCAACAAATTAATTTGAAGTATTGTTTGTTTATTTTATTTTTATTTCTTCATCTTTTCAAGAAAGGGTTTCTCTGTGTAGCCCTGGCTGTCCTGGAACTCACTCTGTAGACCAGGCTAGCCTCAAATCCAGAGATGTACCTGCCTTTGCCTCCCCAGTGCTGGGATTAAAGGCGTGCGCCACCATGTCCAGCAAAAAATACATTTATTGAAAAAAAGTTCAATAGTCGCATCAGGTTCCTCATGAAAGAACCTTGTTTGAATCTGAAGATGGTAATTTCATAGGTGTGCTCTGGACTACACAGGAAAGCAGGATGATGGCCCCTGGGAAGTGGGAGACGGGAAAGGCTTGGCTGGGGAGAGGGCTGGTCCTCTGTAGTGCTCCTCTAAAGTCATGCTGAAATGGCAATCCAGTGAGGGTCTTGAGTGGATCCTTGAACCAGTTGTGCACCGCGCACAGGGCAGTGTTAACTGTACATCTGTTCTAACAGTGAGGGCTATGAAGTCCCAGCATAGCTACACATGAGTTAATCGTGTTGCAAAGGGCACTACTGGGTTACTTTGGCATCTGTGACCATGTTGCCACCTCTCTGACTGTCTTGTTTTGTTTTGTTTTTCAAGACAGGGTTTCTTGAAAAACCTGTAGCTTTAGAGGCTGTCCTGGAACTCACCCTGTAGCCAGGCTGGTCTCGAACTCACAGAGATCTGCCAGCCTCTGCCTCCCCGAGTGCTGGGATCAAATGCGTGTGCCACCAACACCCGGCTCTGACTTTGTCTTCTATCTGTAGGGAAAGGCATCGCTCGGCCATGGAAGCTTGTATACTATCGTGCAAAGAAGATATTTGATGTGAATAATTACAAAGGCAGGTAAGAAAGTCTCACCATTTGGGCCAGAATTTATCCTGATGTCAAGAAACATGGTACAATTCTGTGGTGCATGCAGAATGCTAGCATGGCTCATACTCTTCTCTCTTTCCCAAATAAAGTCCCCAACTTTTCATTTGTGTGTCCAACATTCTGCATTGTTTTTGAATTACATTTAATTTTTCTTTTGTGTGCATGCTTTTTAAGAGAGTGAGGAGTTTGAACTGAGGCATTCATTCTGACTTGGTGAACATGGTACCTACTGAGTCAGCCCGTTACTTTTCTCTCTTCCATTCTCATTGCCCACTGTATCCTTATA